TTTTTTTTTTTTTTTTTTTTTTTGTTTTGTCTCTATCTTATCAGTTATCACAATTCACAACGCAAACCAAACGACGTTACTCCACGTATTTCGGAGCCTTTTTCGAAAATTCTGGATAGAGTTTCACTGTCCTCTTTGGAAGGCTAGCTCTTTTCGTCTTTGGATTGGGCTTCATGTTCAAGATTTAGTTGGGCTGAACTAAACTACTATCTAATACTTCGTAGATTTAAGTTATTAATAACTTAATTAAAATTATTAATCTTAAAAAATAAATTATATTTTACAAATGAAATTATATCAAATCATAAAATAAAAATAATACAATTTAAAAAAAATTCTTAATATTAAAAATTTAACTATTATTTAATCATTAATAAAAAAATATTTTTTGTATAATTTTTCCTTTTCATTATATATTTTTTATATAATTTAACATGTTATTAAAATAATTAATTTTTTTAATTCATATAAAATTTATACTATTAAATATATTTATTTACTTAATAACATATAAAAATTATAAAAAAAAAACAAAAAAAATTATTTCAATAACAACATCTTTATTAATAATGTGTAATGTGTAACGTAATACCATTAAAACCGCACTATACTTTCGCCTTTAAAAATATCAGTTTAATTAAATAGTTTGGGAAATCAAAACCAGGGGGAAGTCAAAAGTCAAGTGATTGCTCCAAAGCTAATGCAGGCTTCTGTGTTTTCATCAGAAACCGTACTGGTGGTACGCATAATTTTTCTTGACTTGCCGGAAAAGTATCCCACGAAAATCCATGTACACTTTTAACACCTTTCAATTTTTATTTTTATTTTTTTAAAAAAATGAAAATTACCCCAAGTGTAGATTAGTCAATCTGACAAGTTCATGTACCCTATCTACCCCCCACCCTTTAACTCTATTTCCATACTTTGTCTTGTTCTCTCCACCATTTTTCGGATTTCTGAGTTGTAAATTTGCCAAATGCTAAGTGCTTACCCTGTCTTACAACAGAAATACTGTCAGAAAAAGGCAAATTAGATTTTTCCTAATTTTTTTTTTCAATTAATTGCCAGATAGTGTTTAACTTAATGACTTTAAAATTTGAACAGACAAAATGCATATCCAAACCCAAGACACACTCACCAATTTACAGTCCTCTGCCATTTAGCTGATTATTATTTTAACATCAAAACCAAATTTCTTGCAATTGAAGGTACCCACTACTTGTTTCTTCTTCATCAATCAAACCCCACTTCTCCTTTTCATTTCTCTTCCGTTTCCCCCCCAAACCCAGACTCGGAATCGAGTCTCTGCTGCTGGGGAATTAGTGATGGGATGTGAGAGCAATTCGGGGATCGTCAAAACAGGGACCACGGCGGCCACGGCGCTGGCTCCGGGGTTTCGATTTCACCCGACGGACGAGGAGCTTGTCAGCTACTACCTGAAGAGGAAGATTTTGGATAAACCCGTGAGGTTTAATGCCATTGGTGATGTCGATATCTACGGGCACGAGCCTTGGAACCTCTCAGGTCCTCTTCCCTCTCTCCCCCATTTCTTTGTTTCCTCGTCTGCTTGATTTTTAGTGTGCTGTCAGGAAATTTTCTTTAGTTTTTCCGAAATTTTAGGGATTATCTTGAGTGGGTGTTGTTAAAGATTTCTCCTTTATCGGGGGTTTCTGGTTTTTTGTATTTTATTTAGGTTGGAGTAGGGTGTATCTTCTGAATTTCTTCTGGGAGGGGTTATCCTCACTCATTTCGATACTCTCTTGTGCAAAAGTTTTCATTTTTAAGCTGTCACTGAGTTAGTTCTTCTTAATGTGGTTTTAGAGTTTTCAAGATTGAAAACTCGAGACCAAGAGTGGTATTTCTTTTGTATGTTGGATAAGAAGTATGTGAATGGAGCAAGAATGAATAGAGCCACAGGCAACGGATACTGGAAGGCCACAGGGAAGGACAGGGAAGTCCGTCGTGACTCACAGCTTCTTGGGATGAAGAAGACGCTTGTGTTTCATAGTGGTAGAGCTCCAGATGGGTTGAGGACCAATTGGGTCATGCATGAGTACAGGCTGGTTGAGGAAGAATTGGATAAAATTGGGGCTTTGCAGGTTTGGCCGCATAAACCATTTCTCATCTTATAAATGATGCTTCTTAGGTTGATACTTGCAAGTTCGAGTATTATAGTTTGTGTGGTTGCATTTTGGTTTCATTTTTATGCCAATGCTATTTACAATGTCAACAGGAAGTATTGAGTATGTTTTATTTAGGCAATGAGTGATGCTGCACTTGTTTGATAGTGACGAAAAAGTGATCACATTGGGGACATCTCTTTGTTTGCAAAGAAATGAATATATGGCGTGGGAAACTACTAGATGTTTGAACTGTTTTTATGAGTAATGCTGTTTTGGTTTCATAAGAAGGCGTCTAGCACGCTAGTGAACTATACTAGAGTTAAATAGATTTTGTTTCTAGTAAGTGAAAGCTCATGTTTAGAAGTCTTAAGTATTTCTTAACATTTGAGCTGCTTGTTATTGTTTAATTTTGGGAATTTGAATCCTATAAAAATTGTTTTTCCCTTCCTTGGTTCCTTTTTAGGTGGAGAAGTCCTATGTGTTGTGTAGGGTGTTTCATAAGAATAATATAGGACCGCCAACTGCAAACCGATATGCACCTTTTATGGAGGAGGAATGGGATGATGATGCTTCAGCAGCTTTGATTCCGGGAGTAGATGGTGGTGATGATGCTGCAGCTGGCAATGATGGGTTGGTTGTTAATAATGCAATGGAAAGCAATGGTATCGAAAGGAATGGTGTAGTTGAGCAGGTCTGTGCTTAATTTTTATAAAATTGAACTCCATTTACATGCTCTTTTCTTTATGAGTATTATGCAACTATATTTTTCACTAACTTACATTAGCTGCATTTTTTGCCTTTTTATGCTGAATAGTAGATGGTGAGCAAATGCAGTCTGCAAAATGTCACTAGAGATTATTTTTCTTGAAAATCCTTTTTAAATATTGGAGCATTTGCTTTAAATATTTATTGCTTATTTTTTTTGTTGCCTGTCATAGATGATTTGAACTGATAATCTAGAACCCTTAGCTTTGGATTCAATTTCAATATAATCTGGAAGGATATATTCATGCCAAAATGAAGAACGAGATTGTAGAGAACAGCACAACTCTGGTTTGTAGAAAATGAAAGGCTTAGTTGTTAGTAGTTCCAGCCTTACAAGGAATGAAATTCTAACTACTAACATCTATAATATGCTTTTGAGGTAGTACATAGGAGGTGCTGAATCATGTTAGGAAGTGATTTCTCCTGGCGGAGATTTTAAGGCCATCTATTATCCTTGTGACAAGAAAGGCATGGATAGAATTAGGCATGATTGCAGTCGTTGGCACAGTAAGAGAAGGAAATCTTTCCTGATATTTAATTGTTTTGGGAAATAGAATACATGGCTTCCATGTTGAGATTAAATGAAATTTTTGTATTGGAATTCTGTGGTGCACCTTTTTAAGGGTATTTGCAATGGTGCTGAAGCCTGAAGCTGCTTTCTGTTCTTGTTCTCATCTTAGACAACTTTCTTGTTCTTTACACACAAAGCTTATAATATCTTTTGTGGGATAGAGGCCTGAAGATTTCATTCGTAGAAGGCATATTAGAAGCTGTGAAAAAGGCTCCATTATTTTCCTATTAATAGCATCATAACAGCTGACCCTTAAATCTGAGGTGGTTATGACTGGAATCTTTGTCTTGTATGTCAAGAAAAGCTCAGCAGCTTTGTGTATCCCTTTACCTGAGAAAGGATGTGGAGAGTTTGTAGAGAGTGAGGATACTTGCACTGGATATCTTCTGAGTTCCATGATATGAGCTGCTTTCCCTTTTCCTCTTCTTCTCATTGAAAGGTAGATGAAGTGCTAGTAGATGTATTGAGTATTGACACGAACCTGGTCTTGGTAAGATATTTGTGGTTTTTGTTATTATATGTATCACATTTTTGGTTATTTTAAGACATTTTAGCCAAGTGTTGTGTGGCTTGTATTCGGAAGCCCTTTTCTTTTTTTTCCCCCCTAGAACTGCTATGTAAGGTTATTTAAATGTTTGCAGGACATTCAAATTGTGGAAAAGACTCGATCATTGCAGGATATTAACTCTGTTGACAATGATCCTCCAAATATTGATGAAAGATCAGATGATTGTCCAAGGGAGTCAAGGACCATGTTACCCGCATGCAAGATTGAAAGATCAAATGATTGTCCTCAACCTCCATTGTGTGTGCTGAACAAAGAAGCACCGTTACCTCTTCTCCAATATAAAAGAAGGCGGCATAATGACTCAGGTGCCAACCGTGCAAATGGCTTTGAGCATTCAACTAGGACAACTCAGGACCACTGCTCATCGACAATGACAGCAGCAGCAACAGAGACATCATCAGCAACAACAGTTGCAATCTCTGCATTGCTGGAATTCTCCCTAATGGAATCCATTGAACCCAAGCAGAATCTTCATTTTCCTCCACCCACCTATGATGCTGCTAATCTTGGTTCACCAGTGCCTCCCAGCTGTATGAACCTCATCAACCAGCTGCAGAATGAGATCCACAAGATCTCTGTTGAGAGGGAGACAATGAAGCTTGAGATGTTGAGCGCTCAAGCCATGATTAACATCCTCCAATCAAGAATCGAATTCTTTAGCAGGGAAAATGAAGAGTTGAAGAGGAACATCCAAAAGCAAAACCTATAACAAGGATAGCAGTAGGTAGTCCTGTTGTGGTTTACATTTGCGGCCTGTAGGATTAGGATATCGTGTCTGTTTATGAAACAATGTTTGTTTCTGTAGGATTAAGTTTTTGCTGATTATTGCCTGTGTTGTTGTAGGAAATATCAAACTGGCAACTGTTATTGTCCCCTGTATTCCTTTATATATCATGTTATGGGAAGGGGTTGTTCCGGACCTTCCGGTGCTCTTTTAATGGATCATGGATGGTACCCATAATGCAAACCGATTTTTGGGATTATGGCTAGTTACATAACCTGTAAGCGAATGTGTGAATTGCAGACATGAACTTGCAAACCACAGGGGTGTTCTTCCCACTAACACGCCACATTCCAAGTATGGGAAAATACCAGAACGGTGTTTTTCTAGT